CTGAGGAAAACAAAAAATCCGACCTCTCGGGATCGAACCGAGGGCCCCAAGATAGCTTCTATCGTTACAGTCTTGTGCTCTTCCAACTGAGCTAAGGTCGGAATGCTCTTTGTCGGGGAATCGAACCCCGGTCTTCCGCGTGACAGGCGGAGATACTAACCACTATACTAACAAAGAACTTGCTTCAATTTTTTGGTTGATGTAGGTAAATTATTTTAGTGGAAAATACAAAATATTGACATTGTTTCGTTTATTTGATTTTGAACAATTAATCCATGTTAATCCAAGGTCTTTATTGATGTTCCTCTCTTTTCAGTAATGTATCGATAATAAAAAGTTGCAACAATCAAATTCATGATTCCCAGTACTTGCTTTTCAATGTACAAGTACTCACGATCTTCATCAATCTCTTTTTCATACCAACAGACAGTTTTTCCATCGCAAGTCAACTTGTCGTGTTCCCATAGGTACTTTTTCCTTTCAAAAATGAAATATTCCTTCTTCAAGTCTAATTTGAAGTTGAACTCATGATCATAATATTTGATATTTGTTAAAGTCTTTTTAATTTCCATTATCGTTGGAGCAGATTTTGATCCGATCGTAAAGAGGATATTCAGACCAAATAGAGATTGTTGAAGGTGGATGTGGTATATCGGTAAGTTTGAATCAGTGATTATTGTTTGAGAATGATCTTTATGAATTTCCAATCTTGTTGCGGCTACCATTGGAAAGTGTGATCGATCCTTGTCGAAATATGACATGTGTGTCATTGCATTTGATCTGACAGAATATGAAAAAACAGTATCAATAAAGATAATATATTAGAGATGTGCAATGGGGATTTTGTTTGATTTCATTTGGCTCTTTTCGAGCGCAATATTCAATACTCCATCAACAATTTTTGCTTTGATATTGGAAGAGTCAAAGGTTCCTGGGAGTACAACCGATTTACAAAACTGTTCAGGTCTTTCTTTCAAGTGATATATACTGTCCTTATCTGATCGAGCACTACGGTCGCCCTTGATTATTAAATAGTTGTGTTCCAATTGAATATCAATTTCGTCCCTTTTGAAAGCAGGAACATCCAATTCAATTCGAAATTCCTTTTTAGTTTCAGTCAAATCCATCGGTGGTATTGCAGCGCAACTGAAATTGTTGAAGAATGGTAGCGGATCCAACAGCAAGTCTCTGAATAATGACATTTTGTAAACCCTTTCGGGAATCAAACTTTTTATATCTTCAGTCACGTGACAGAAATGTAGAGAATGGAATGGAAAACGCTCTGTAAATGATTTCTCCAGTCTATTCCAGAAGCACGAAGCAACTAGGTCTGATTTATTCTAGTGTCCGACACTACAGTTGTGTGTATTTATTCAGAATGGCGAGATTCAATTGCATCGTGTCTGTCAAAGAGAAAGAGTAATCTAATTGAATTCCAGTATTTTAGTGAGTAGCTTATTTTCAATTGTAGAATTATGCATATAAACCTAATAAACATTCAGTTCTTTTCACGTCATAACTAATTTTGATTGCTATTACAACCCTGTCCGCAACACTATTAGCCGCAGTCATTTGCATTTTTCTTATAGGTTCATACTGTATTCAGATTGCTAAAATTAAGGTAACAGCTGTGATTTTGCTGTTAATCACATCTGCTCGTTTTGAGCAGAGAACAGCAAACTGATGAAGATTGTAAAGGCTTGATTATGTTTATTCAACTCTGGTTGAGAATACATCCAGAGGTATTTATAATAAAATAGAGAGAGGCTTGTTCAACAAAGAATCAATCAATGGAGATTAGTAACAGGTAGCGCGATAGGTGACTCTCACATACGATATCAATCAGTTACCTGCACATTTAAACATTACTACAATGTGATTTAACAAAAAAAACGACAACGGCAGGACTTGAACCTGCGACCACAAAGTGGAACAGATTTCAAGTCTGTCGCCTTAACCGCTC